GAAATAGGTCTTCATGTCCCAGGAGGCTGCCCTAGGGAGTATCCCACAGAGGAGGCATCCCTCTCCACTGTCAAAGCTGTCTCCCTTTCTGTTAATTATTCTTGAACTTTACCCTTTCCTATCCCAAGTGAACAGCTTGACCACAAAATTGTCATATCAAGTTTTTTCTCTCTCTCTGGTGTAATAACTATTGTATTATTTACATTAAATGAAACAGCTTCAGCGGAGATACTGAGGCAGATGGTGTTCCTGTGTGTTCCTCGACCCTACATATGTAATAGAGTTTTGGTTTGGGGAACTTTCCTGTGATTGAGAAGACTGGGTTTCAAATTCCTACTGCCTGGCAGGTTGCATGGCTTTTAAAACTGTCACCCCAGTTTAGTACCTTAGCCATTGGTAATTAAGTTAGATAGAAGAAAACGTATTTATCTGTTACGTTTTGCCTAATACGCATATATGCATCCACATGCATGTGCACGCGCGTGCACACACACACACGCTTGCAGATATTCGGGTACTGGCCCTGCTTTCAACAAGCAACTCGTTCAGCTTCACGAAGGGGATCCCACCAGCTTCAGGTTGTGCTGCAGAGCCGATGTTCATCGTTGCTTAAACTCCTTGGAGCGGCAGCAACTGCTGTATCTCCTCCTGTGGGAGAGGAAAGCCTTACACTGGCAGGTGAGTGCCGGCTAGCTAGAGTGAGGGCTAGCAGTCCTAGGGGAAGAATTGTGCGCATACCCAAATTGTTAATTGTCAGCTATCTCCTCCCTGCTTTGCTGATGATCAGAATAACACATCAAACTGGGAGGAGAGCAGGATCCCCAGTTGTCAGGCTGATGAATAACTGAACTGGTTCTTTTGAAGCTCCAATTAACAGCAAAACCCTCTTTCATAGAAACAAGTGTCCAGCCAAATAAAACTGATGATTTTTGGACATGGGGGATTAAAAATTTCTCTCATGCTTTCTACGTAACAGTCTACAAAAGCCGATTTGTTCCCTTCCAGAATTTCAGGGTTAGTCCCCAAATACGCTTGACTGAAGTCTCTGCAAATAGCTTTATTTAGATGTGAGAGGAAAAAAAACTTGTCTTGTTCACTCCATTCTGTTTCTAGTGCTCAGCACCCATGAAATGGATTGCTTATGGGGAGATAATGTCTTTTTTGTGCCTTCCAAAGTCTGTGAAAAATGTCTTCCTGGTTAATAGATTGATTAAAACTGTATATGCTCCAGAAGATAAATATGATTATTTATCATACTTGCCCAAGATAATGACAGTAAAGAAGACAAGGTTGAAATTCTGCATGATTTTCTCTCTTTCACATCCAGGGACATTCAGCACACAATACGCAGATGGCGCACCACATAAAGGATCACATTAACTGTTAAACATTTTTTCTTCCCATTAACTAATTTAACAATATGTCCCTGCTATTAAAGAAATAGACAAATTACAGAAAACTTCTGTCAGCTTAATTCTGATTGCTAAAATAGACCATTTGCCCAGATGGGATTGTTTTCTGGCCTATCAGGTTCGAAACGTCTAGAAATTCGGCAACCACCAGCCCAGACTCACACAGTGTTGATTCAGCTCTTCATCCTTAATTGAGTTTCAGACACGTAACTCTCTGGAGATTTTTGAATGACAGCCTAAATATCAAAGGCTACTCTGCTCTGGGTGTATATTAGATGACTCGAGTTTTCCAAAACGATGAGCTCTTAGTAGCCTGGTTTAAGTCAGCAGATGCCGTAGGTGACAAAAATCACAGCAAAAGCCCCTGAGACTTTTTTGCCAGAGTGGACGGTGGACCAAATTGAACAAGCATTTCCAGTTTGTCTTCATTTGCCACCTTCTACAGCAAAGACAGTGTTACTGACCTTGGGGCTGGTGGTACTGTGGAGGCTCCCTCGGTAAGCACGAGAATGGTGGAGTAGCCTGCCTATCACTGTTTCTCACACAGCCGTTTGCCGTGCTGATCTCTCCTCATCACCCGTTTCCTGTTTCTCTTTTTGCTTCTAAGCAACATAGTAGTATGGAGGGAGCTCATGTATTATTAAATATTAGCCTACAGGCTAATTTTAGGAACACACGTGGCCTCCATTATTCCTATAACTAAACGTGACCAGAAAGTTGGTGAAAAGTCAGTGTAAATGAAACACAGAGGTCAGCTGAAGTGACTTGAAACAACTTGAAACTCAGTGCGGCTATGCTGCATTACCCATTTTGAATAGCAGCGTTGCAAACATCCCCTTATTTTAGTGTAACTTTTTGCACAGGGAAAACTGATAATGAAAACAAACTTCCTCTTCCATGTTTTATTCTTACACTCCCTTGATGCAGAGACAGTAAGCATTTTTTTAAATAAAAGAGAAAGCAATTAGGGAACCACTGGACCCACCAAATTTTTTTGTGCCAGGGCCTACTTCTAGTATTTAAGTCTTGAAAGTTGATTTATTTTTCTGATGTATATTGTCTGTTGTTGTTTTTTGCCTAATTTTATTTGCTCAGTTTCAATAACTACATACACTATGGTGTATAGCTGCTATTGGTGTACTAGGTACTTTACCCCTCTATTTGTTCAGGGTTTTGTTGTGGTTTCCAGTAACTCTTTGCCAAATATTTTCATAAAGAGAGAAAATGAACCATCACAAAACCAGCAGAATGTTCAACAAGTGAAAAGCGCTGCACAGTGCAATAAAAAAAATCCAAGATCTCCCATGTTTTTCATGTGGATTGAGACTTGATTTACTTTTACATCATGCTTGCACTCTTCTACACAAACCTTTATCTACAGAAAACCCATTTCCAGCCAAAAGCACAGAGTAAAGCTTGGTGTAAGATGACTGATGAATTCCTCTCTCTTTGGAAGATGTTTTAGGTTCAGCCTCATACCTCAACCTTGGTCACTCTGAACTTGCCCTGTAAGCGTGATTCTATTTTAAAGATTTCTGTCTGTATATTTCACTATGTTAGGATTTTTTGAAGAGCATCATCTGGTATGTCCATATAACTATGCACCTCCAGATTTAATTCATCCTATCTGTCATAAGGGAATTTTTTTTATAACACAGTTACACTGATCCAATGGCTAACCATTACCAGAAGGGACAGCTCTCTTGTGCCAGGACTAGCACTTGTCTTACTCTCGGAGCTCTAAAGTGCTAGAAAACCACTCGTTTTTCTTCCGAGTTTCTCCCGAACTGTGTTCTCATGCAGTCACCGTGCTGATGGGAGGTAAGCAAGGGTAGAGCGGCTCTTTTCAGAGGCAGCCAGCAGGCTGGTCAGGTCAGATGCTTTGTACAATTCCAGGAGCAGCCATCCATTTTAGTATAGTGCAAGTCACCCTCTGACCGATCCTGTCTTTCTCCACTGAGCGTGCAGGGAACTTTGGATGACTGATTTAGGTGAGTTATTTAATCCAGATAAAGACAGATGACCAGAATCCCATCTTAGAAACGAAAGGTAAGCAACCTTAAGGACATCATGCAATTTGCATTTATTTAGTTCAGTTTAGTGCTTGACCAGTTTTAACAACATGGCAACTTGTTAAACTTGGTAACTCAGCACTAATATGTGTAAAAGTGTAGGCAATACAGGTATCACCATGCACACAAATTAACAGAAATATGAAAATAGTACCATTTTTCATGTGCATATGATGGCAGTATTCACCACAATTTATTTAATATTGGATTACAAGCATCAAGCTATGGAAAAGATGTCAACTATTACCTTCAATTCCTTTAAAGATACTATTTTAGTGCTGTCATGTTTCACAGGAAAACCATACTTCTCTATTATTCATCTGACATTTAAAGCTTTTTTTAATGTTCTTTCCTAGGAATATAAAGACTTAATCACAAAAGACAGGTTTTAAGAGGACTTTATTAAATCTGACAACTGACTAATTGGACTGTGTGCAATTAATAAAAAAAAAAATCATAATTGAGCATTCAACAAAGGATTGTTCACTGATAGCATTTTTTTTTATTTCTGCAGTTTTACAGATCTACAGTTCTGCACATACAATGTTTGAATAAGACATTATTCTTCCTAGTTTACACCCACACTTCATGAGATTACTGCAGCGTGGAAAATGTCACATTGCTTCTCCTGGTAGAAGAGCCACAGGAACCACTGAAATCCAAAAAACCTAGCCCTGCCCATACACTTTCTTAGCTGAAAATATTTGTGTGGGACAGACTGGGTGTCTCACTATTTCATACCTTTTTCACTTACAACTTAAACTGCTATACAAATATAGTAGAGACTTTTATGCAAACAGATTCACTATTGTGGAATCCAATAAAAAAAAGCCAATACTGAGAAAACAGTGCACTTTGTAGAGATCTCTTCTGATGCTCTACAGAGGAGCTCAGTAGGTCACTACTTGCATATGGGATGTTTTAAACTTTCCCTTCAGACATACAAAAATAGTTTGGTTTAGATACTTTCTCTGTTGCAAATTTAAATATCTCCTTTATTTTTATGAGTGCACTGTATGCTTTACCTTCATGCTCAGTAACAGATCTGTTATAATTGACTTGATGGTTTTATTCCTAATGGGACATGTAAATGTCACTGAAAGTACTGTTCTTTGTTTCCTAGAGAAATTTTCTAAAGTTCCTCTTAAGACAACACAGGATGGGCTAAGAGTTTATTGGGGTTTTGTCCTTACATTTACTACTGAAGATCGGTTTCTTCTTTAAGTCTTTGTAAGAGAGAGTCTTTTTTTATGTTGGATCCAACTTATCTTGGAGGGTTCATTTCCTCACAAATCAACTATACCAAGCACGCTGAAAAATACAATATAAATTGTTTTGCTTCATTTTGTTTTTAATTCCCTTGCTGCTAGATGTTAACTGGCATCCCCAGGATCAGTGAACTCAGTCAGTAACTTGCTCAGTCTGAGTTTTCGTCTCTGTTTTTCAGATGGAATGCTTCTGCTCCTTCTGCTCCTGTTCTTCCTGAAAGAGACATCTCCAAACGGCTCTGAGTCTTTCACTTGGATTTAAGTAAGTCTTCCCATTCAACAGTGGACTCACTATTTTTAGGAATTGCTGGAAATATTGACTGCATTTTAGTTTGGAATTCTTTCATCTATAAAAGAGATTAAAAAATAAAATCAGTTAAGTGTTAATAAGGAGCAAATAAAGTAGCACCATGAACCCTGGGCTTATTCCACAAAATAAACTGTGTGAGGTAAAGAAGAGGTAAAAAGACTTTAAAAATAACAGAAAATTAAGGCTTTCCCTCTGATTATGTTGGTTCAATTAACAAAGTGAAAAAAAGTATGAAGGGACCCACAGCAATCCCTCCTTCTAAAGCACCACACTGGGGTGCCTAATTTGGACCACTTGCCGGAATGATTCACTACTGTTACATGAACTACCATATATACACACACATGTAAATGTTACAATGTTTTTGTTTGGAGGAAAATTACTTCCATAGAATGTGCCCATATTTTGGCTGCAGTGCCTTTTTCTACACTTGTAATGGATTAAAGGCCCAATAGGTCTGTTCAAGGATTTTAAAACAAGAATTAAAGAAAAAACATACTGTTCAGCTCTGACAGTTTAGGTTTATTCCACCATATGGATACAGGTGACAAAACAAGTCTTGTTCAAATTTATACATTTGCAGGAAGAAAAACAAGATTCGTAATGATATATAGGACCAAGCTTTTCCTTCACTGTTGTTAAATTAAAATGCTGTGAAAGAGGAAGTTTGCTAGTTTTATATTCTGTGTATCAGTACATTAATACCAATTGCCAAATCTATATTTATGATAACGATTTTATCACCAATGTCTGATTAAATAGTCCTGGCAGGCCAGAACAGAAATTTAATTTCTTTAAAAATCACTTTTGTTTGAAGATAATATTTCGATGTAGCGGCTTGCTTTCTTCCAAGTTTTTTACATGTATTTTTACATAGAATATATTTTTAAAGGATAGGCATGGAAAAATCAAATCAGTGAAAATCCTGTTACACAAACAGCAGGATGTACAGGGGAATTTTTGGACTGCTATTTTTAGGAAGCGCTACAGAATCTCCGACATTCATGCAGAGAAGACAGGATGTGGTATTCAAGCACTGGATGCAATGACCTCTTGAAGACCAAATGCTGTCTCAGGCAGTATGTCCCATGGAGAAGTTCCAGGAAATCTAGATATTCTAAACAGCCACACAGGCATCTTCTCTAATATGCCTACATTTTGTGTGTTATGGGTCATCAGTTTTTTTACAAATACCTTTGGGCCATTTTCTGTTCAAGTCCTTCTGCGTGTGAATAATTCTGACAAAGAACTGGTACTTCTTTAGAGAAATGTTACTGCAATGCAATTAAAGTTACAGCTGATACTAAGAATGAAACAATCTACAAAGAAATTACCGGTCTCTTACTAAGACAATAACTAACTGTGATGGATGAAAGCATTTTGGAAATCAAGTTTTTGTGTAAAAATGGCTACTGCTAATCAAATAAAAATACTTGTTATATAAAGTAGGAGGAAAATTCAGAGCCAAATTATCCTTTTTGTTTTATCCTGATTGTGTTCTTACGTAAAAACTAATTCATTGTCTGCTTTATATTTTATTCTGATCAGATAGCTTTTTTGATTAATTATTCGTTCTTGTTTTTTAAAAATATTGGCAATCACCCACAATTGTTCCTAAACTAATATTTTTGCTTCTTATTTAAAAATGAAAAGCTCTCATAGACAGCTAATATTTCCAAGAATAATAGACACCAGTATCAGAGCTGATGTAGGGGAACAGCCCAAATTACATTCAACAAATGCTGACAATTAAATACAAGTATTTACAGTAGGAAATGCCTTAGGAGCTTTGGCTTAGCTGTTTTTTCCAGTCCTCTGTAATTAAGTTACTCCAGTTCTCTGATGTGCAGAAAGTATTCAATTTACTTAACATTTGTTAATTCCTAAGGAGCGAACCAATTCTTCTACTCTTTTGTCTCACTCTGAGTATTATCTGGCTGTTTGGTAACACAGGAGTGGTCAGATCCTAACCTGATGTAAACTGCCGTAGCTCAGTTGGTATAACTGGAAATAAAACATTTTATACCAGCTAATGATCTGGTGCAATGTGGATTTTTTGGCTGTTTCTAAACTCAGTCTTTTCAATTTCTTTTAGTGTCAAATTTAAATTACACACTCATAAAGCCCTACAGGACACCTCTGTTACTCCACTGAAGACACACAAAACCAAAGGAAAACTAAAAGCAATTATATAAAGCCTCCAAAAAGAGGATGATGGGTGAGAGAGCTATTCAGAAAACTACAGTGCTTCCTCACTCTAACAGCTACCTTATAATTACTAACATACCAAACCCTAACCCTCAAATGCAAAAAGCAATCTTGTCTGGGAAATAAAACACTACAGCTCTGTTCTGAAAGAAAAAAGGTATTTATTTAGAAAGCACTAAAACATTGCTGGCAGCTGCAGATTTAAGAATATTCAGATTTTTCTCCCCTCAGAACACTAATTTATGTTCTGCAGGTAAAAGCAACTCATTTCCTGGAAAAGCAATTTTTACTTAACACGTGGACCAAATCTGAAATATTCAACGTCCTTCTTTTGCTTTTAAGACTCCCTGAGAAATTTCCTCAGCCTTGTCTTCTCAGATTTTGACGCTTATTTGTAAAACCACTTTGCAAGTGATGCCAGACTCAATGTTTCATTTACCACTTCCTCTCTTGCCAGCACCTATGCCCTTTTCCAGAAGCCCCCTCTGCACAAAAATAGTTTTTCATTGCAATTCACAACTTCGTCTATGTTTTATATTTTTCTACAAACCTTCTTCCTTTGTGATTCCTGGACAGTGAGCTATTTTAATAAATCATAATGCCAAGCTGATCACCACTGTGCACTGCCTTCTCAGTGTTATGCTTTAGGTTGTCAGCTATTTAAGAGGGACAATATCTACAGTAACTGGCACGGGCCTCCCTAACACATAATGTCTTCACAGTATGTCTAAACGGGGCCAATTTCTTCACGATACAAAAGTCACAGCTACTAACTCTTACTGCAAGTTTTCATTTCTATACAACTTAAAAAATACCACACCCTATTATTTCTCTCCACAACAGTTTTTGAGTTCTCACTAATAATACATTAAGCAACATAATTAGTACTAGTCACAGACTTCTATTTTCCCCATCTCCTTCTCCTCCTAGTAAGAAAGCGCGGTACAGTATTTCATTAGGGCCTCGAGCTGGACTTCTAAGGTATCTCCCCTTTCTGTTCCACTAATAGCACCAGCTTCTGAGTTTCTTCCTCCATTTCCACATTTGTGCTTGTTGCTATCCTGAACGTACTTCCAAATCCTAGCCACTGTCCTCCCTGCACTCAGAGCTCCTCTAAAGCTCACTTGCCACACTGCCTAAAAGCATGGAGAAGACTTTCAAAAATAACTATTCTCTGATGTAATGGAACCAGTGTATACACACATAAATAACCATGGAAACCGCATCCCAAAGTTCCTATCCCTTCTCTCCCAGTGACAATGTCTGCCTGCTTATGAACAGTTCTAGTATCAAATTTTAGGCTGTGACTTCTTTCAGTCAGAGATTATCAGCTCAATATCCTGGGCCTTGACTGGCCAAATCCTATTTAATATATTTATATATGCAGGACTAAATTTGGCCTCCAAAGTAACTCACACTGGCCTTGGGGTTGTTCTTGCTTGCATTTGCTTGACAGCATCATATCGGGCACATTGCAACTTCAGAGGATCCTTGTAGTGAAGGTAAAATTTGTTTGCTAAACATGTAAATTAGCTGTCCTTCAATGAACTGGGCTTACCAGTGTCTAGTCACCTCCTGCAGTGTGGTGAGCTTCTTGTGAAGATGATGAATCTAGCTTTATGTTCTCTTAATACTGCACACTTGAGGTGCAAGAATTGGGACCTTGTCTTTACCTGCTTTACCTCTCAAGAGGACAAGCACACTTCTTGATGAAGGGAATGCTGTGATTAGGAACCTGTGTCTTACCTTGCCTTGTCTTTTTAGTAGACATGCCACTCGGGAGGTCTCTTGTCCCCTCTCCCTCCCTGGAAATCTTCTCCTTATTTCCTCCAGATTCCACAATACACATGCCAGCGGTCTCAAATCAAAAGGCATTCATTTAATTATGAAAGCTAATGTGCTATGTACTAAGTACTGGAATGTTTTGAAATAATTCACTGAAATGGCTGCCTCTTTATTATTGTCAGCCACACTGACACTGGGGTACTCGGTTCAGCTGTGATAATGCCTTCAATTAATAGGGCAGTAAACCCAGCACTAAAAGCTGAATGTATTTTACCTCTTTCTGCCGCCTTCAGTATCACAGGCCACTCTCTCAGCTGCTGCTTCTGAACCTGGTGGTACATGAACGATTTGTAACACATTTCTTGATTTAACATTCCGGTATGCTCCATTCCTGGAGGCAACTCTCTGAAGTGAATTTCACTCAAGTGAATTTTATTTTTTTTATCACAGATATTGCAAAGCTTGACGCTGTTTTTTCCTGCCAAATAAATTACAGTAACTGTTCCACCTCTGACTGTCAGGCTTCTTTCTAAAAGGGTATCATCTACCTTACTGCATTAAATAATCTGTAATAGCTACAGATCACTGTTATTTTCTTATCTTAACCTAATGATCCTGCCTCAGGTGGCAAAAATATGGGGACCTAAAAGCATCTTCCATTTAATAATCTCTTTTTAATGTACATCGTTGACAGAATGTCACGCAAAAATTGGGATAGCACTATTACTGAGAGCACTTACGTGGCCGCTCATATTAAAATGAATGGAAGAGGGGCTAAAAGAGTCTATTTGAATCCTAGAATGAAAGTTTTACAAAGAAATGTTCTCTTTAATGTCTGACATTCATAATAGGCCAACCCAGATTCTAGGAATTATTAGTTTCCTATTTTAGTGCTCGTACCAGTAAGAACTGCTTACATTAGCTTCCAAGTAAAATGAGGTAAGATGCCCTGAACTGGAATATCAACTGGCAGCAGAATACAGTATATACATGCCCTGTGTTCTCCTCAGCCACCTTCCATTTCACAAGGCATGAAGATGAGAC